CATTTATCCCACATAATTGGCGTGGCTTCTCTAAAATGAAAGGGAGAAAATCCCCCAAAGGAAAACCTGAGGGTTATTGAGTATTAGGGAAGAATAAAAATGGATGGATCTCAAACAGACAACTCGTGGACAGTCATTCTAGACACAGTTTGAATTTGTTCATTAGCAAATGAAGAAGTATTGCATTCTGCGTCCTGGACTTTTTAAAGCAACCTGTGAAGGGTCAAAAATAAACATCAAGAGTGAAAAGAGAGCAGGTGGAGTAGAGTCCAATCCTAAGAAATCCCACTGATAAACGTGGGGGGATATGGAGACCGAATGGCATGCCCAACTCTCGAACTACACATTCATTCATCTGTTCGTAGAACATATATGGGGTATCAACTCTATGTCAGAAAATGCTTGATATAGCAGGATCCTTGACCTTAAGAAGTCCATTCAATCAGGAACTACAGACTTACAAGTGAAAAATCAGCTGTTTTGATAAGCTATGGTGTATCAGAGTGAAAGTAGAGTAGAGCAGTGTGAAAATAGAGCCACATGGAAAATCTAGTGGAATTTTCAACACAGTCTTTCATATTTCCTCTAAACCTAACACTTTGATACAATGCAATCCTTAACATAAAGCAACCCAGAAACACTTATTTCCAATCAATGGGTTTCTGAGAACAGTATATTAAAAGGCAAATGGAAGAATAATTTATCTTAACTCTGGCTGCACACTTTTAAGAAAAATAACATGAAACAATCTTGGTTGTTTGGAAACAAAAGTGGGTGATTGTTGTCTTGGGGAGCTTTTATATGCAAAATACATTTGATAATAATGTGAATTCTTTTAAGCTATTATGTTCTGTAACCATCTAGGGAAATAGTTTTGGGGATAAATACAGCAGAAATATTTAGAGATAGAACATTAAAACTGAAGAATAGCAGACATAGTTGATTCTTTTTAACATTCTTTTACAGTATAAAAATCATCAAATCCTTGGTCCATATCACAGTGATAATGCTGAAAAAATTCTAATCACTTTATCATTATTCCCAGCAGTGTCCTGGAGCTCCAATTCTAAGGGCAGGGCTTTCCGTAAGCGTCTAATGTGAAGACAGAACTGAGAAAAATTTTGGAGAAATGATTTCTTCAAATGAAGTATACTTGATAATAACATTTTAATGCAATATTGACATTTGTAGTTTTTAACTCTGTTGGGCAGAATCTTGATGGAAAAGAAAATCACTTGTGACAGCTTCAGTATGAGTGTCTAATATCATGGCAATTTAACCCGGTTTTATCCTATATCAGAGGTATTCCATCAGAAAAGACCTAAAGTGTCCTTTGTGTTTTACAGAAGAAAGTTGTTTCTCATAACACATAATGCTAAAATTGTCTTAAAATTATTAACTGTTATTAAGCAAGTACTGTGGGAAATATTGGTGGTTTATTTGCAGAGATTTTTGATAAATAATTTAATACATGTGTATATGTAAGTATAAACACACTGTCTTGGTCAGAGTGTTGGTTTATCATCTATTTAGGCTGAATTGCTTTGCTTTGGCCGAACGGCTGAGAAGCTGAGCCAAATCATGACATTCATGATGCGTGTGGCATTCACAGTTGAACAGAGGATGATCTACACTCTCACTACTCAGAGTAGGGTCCCCAGACCAGCAGCTTCAGAAATGCCTTGGGTCTGTTAGTTCCTTCAGCACCAGATCTAATGAATTAGCATGTACATTATAACAAGATCTCTAGGTGATTAAAGCATTAATACATCAGGGGATCTGAACTCTGACTACACATTGGAATCATGAAAGGTGCCTTTAAAATGTTTGATTCTCAGTTCTTACTCTAGACCTATAGATCAGACTTTTTTAAAGGGAGGAGCAAGGCATGGGTATGTCTAAACACTCACCAAGCGATTCTAACGTGTGGCCAGATTTGAGAACTGTTGGTTATCCAGTGCCCAAGCAATCAGTAAATTCAGTGTATTCTGAAAGGACAAGAAAGGAGAAAGTCAAACCAATTACTTTGCATTTAGTGCCACTCTATAAATGATTGATTTTTTTTACCTGTTAATACGTTGGCTTAGCTACTTTGTGAACACAGCCTATTATGTCTCAGCCTGCCCAGAAGTGTATTGTATTGTAAATCAAGAAGAGGAACACTTTGCCATCCAAATTAATTAAAAGAAGATTTTGGGTTTGTTTCTCTACTTTCTTTTGCCAACCTCCTTCTGCAACCTGACAGGTCTAAATGCTGAATCTCAGACACTGCATGCTTAAACTACTACACTTTTGAGTTAGCCACCCTCTTTTCCGTGCACTCAGTTCTCAATTTTTACCTCAAATGTCCCCTTTTCACTGTAGCCCAAGTGTATTTTCCATTTCCTGAATTCCTGTGTTGCTTAGTGCTTCTGTCATGTGCTCTCATTTTACGGTCTTGTAGAGTTAGCGCCACTATTTAGTGGAGTACAGTTTCCTGTTTAATTTCTACATATAATCTCAAGCATTAGCAATCTATTCCAAAATCGTACACATGAATAGGAAAGGAAAACAGAAGTCATGGCATAGTACATATGACAGCCATTATTATCCCTTCTTACAGATGACGAAACTGAGTCTCAGAGAGGCAAGATGACAGGCTAGTAAGTGTCAACACTAAGATATTTTCCCCAAGGCCATCTGACTCAAAGCACAGAGGAAATTTGTTTTGCTTTTGCTTGTGTGTGTGTGTGTTTCTAATATGTTATGGTACTTTAATTATAGTTCTGGGCCAGATTAAGACTATGAACACGCTGAAAACATACTGAAAGAAGTCTCATCCTTAAAATCAATGTCCACTCTTGTCGATGGAATGAACTCAATGATTTTTCTTTTTTAAAGTCACTTGGTTTCTTTTGTCAGAAAATTATTGAAGCTTGATGGGTAGGGGCAAAAGGAGGAGCTCTTATTGTCTGTCTTTCTTTAAAATTACTTTTAATACACAAGTAATACCTGAACAACATTCTTGCGAAAAACCAGAACAGTATGGAGATGAATGAAGTCTCTTGTCCAGCACCTCCACACGCACATCCCACACTCCACCCACCCAGTCTAGGTACCTTCCTTCCCTCTTCACAAGTAATCGTTTTATCTGTGCACACTCTTTGGGACATTTTAGGGTATTTAAACACATATATGTGGTATATTATAATAACTCTAAATGATGGCAAATATTGGTGTGTTGATTGTTATGTCGATAAAACTGACTCTTGGGAATTAAGAGTCTGATTAGTATGTTTAAAGGAAAAGACCTGAGAAGGATATCTAATTCAGGGGTTGACAGATTCAAAATTATATCTCAACCCTGTGGAATAATACCCTAAAGCAAGAAAGATAAAAGTTTAGCTAGCGTAAATATTAAAGCCCTGCACAAAGTACTGGCAGCAAATGGAGAATTCTGATTTAATATTAGTTTATATGGAAAAATGTAGCCGTTTGTTTATCACAGACTCAGAATTCAATACAAATTCTAATACTTCAAAAAGTCAGCATTTCTTATCGCTAAAATAAGATTCCTTTAAAAACATCAGCAATTACTCCAGAATATCTAAGTTTAGAAGGAAAATACTAGACTGTGTAAAATGCCTATAATATAGTAAACTAGTCATTTTAAAACGTGGTACTAATTTTGTGATTTATGTTCTTTATGTTTGGAAAGAAGGTCCCTTGTGCTCATCACTCCCAGACCTGACCAGCCATTTTTTCTTCTTTTTTGTAACAAAAACTAGTGCCAGTGAAAAGAAAACTCATTTTTACTACAGTACAAAACATTCCTTATGATTTCAGCATAAAGAGGTCCTATGATAAGACACTGGAATAATCTTCCTTCTCAATGCTGATGTCTTCCCAAGTAAGGATCTTGCCCTGTGGAATTAAATCTCACTCACTATAAAGCTAATGATCTATTATGATAATTTTGTTTTGTTTTGTTTTAAGAATGTTTATACCCAACATTCTTCGACAGAATACTTGGAATTGGGGGCATGGGAAGTCAGGGACATACTCTGCATGGGACACGTGCTTCCCCACACTAAGTCTTGACCTCTCTGCCTGAGTTTTTTCTTTGACACATATCAAAAAACAGATTTTGGGTAAAAAAAATTCTCCAAACAAGAAAATTTAGAAGCCTTAAAATCACCAGTCATCTGAAAAGCTTTCTGTATGTGTGTGGATATCTTCCTGTTGTGGGTTTAGATATTTAGGTATTGATTGTACAGAGTACAAGGAAGTATAGGTTCTGAGAGAGAAACGGATTTCCCTTTCCTAATGGTAGGTGAGTGTAATATGATTGACTTTATGACTGACTGATCATAAGACATAGGTGACCGTGAGTCTTGACCTCTTTTCATACTTTCTAAGTTAAAGTTACCTCACACATACACATACTAAGTATTTCAGAAAACGGAATCCTGAGTGATAAGCAAGAATCTGAGTCAATGGGGCAAATGTATTGATGTCTTTTTAAGAACTCCAAACCATGGTTTTATTTGAATTTATCTATCTCTGCCCCGACATCCACCATAATACACAAGGAAAGTCAAGGCCTTAACTCTGTTACTGACTTTATTCGGCAGCCTCAGACCAATAATTGATGTTTATCTACTATGTGCTGCTCCAGATAGAGTAGCTCACTTTAATTCTCCCCTCCAGGTTTCCTTCCCTAAGGAAGGAGCTCTATCTCGGATCTGTCTAATTAATCAGGACGTGAAGAAGAGAAAATTGTGAGGCAATCCCTATGCTCATTTTTGCTGGGCTTTAAAAAGCTCAATAAAGTTTCTATCTACATTTTCTTGTTTATACTGTAGAGTAAAATGGATCAAACAAGCAAAGATTTGTGGCCACAGAGGCGGCACCTTTGTACAATCTAACACATACTGTGTATCAAAGAAATACTGTGCCACTTCTCTGAAGCTGACATTGGAATGACATTGTAATCCTGGCCATCTGTCTTCCTCCTCTAGATGTCGATGAATGTGCCGTGGTGAATGGAGGCTGCCAGCAGCGCTGTATTAACACTCTGGGCACCTTCCACTGTGAATGTGATACAGGATACAGACTCCATGCTGATGGACGCACCTGCATAAGTGAGTAAATATTAGAAACAGCTTGAAGTCGTTTTCAATGAAAATCGACCTGCCCGTGTAGGGGCAGGAAGAAAAGATTTTTCTATTATAAAAATCTCTCTAGAAGCTAACGGTTTTCAAGTACAATTCTATCTCTTAGAATAAAAAAGATATTTTGCTATTAAAAGAGAGTACAAGACAAAAAAGATGGGGTAGGAAATACAGAAATTAACATTCACGAGCAAAACTTGAATCTCCAGATGTGTGACTGTTTCCATAGCATATCATTTCTGCCATATGCAGTTCAGTATACATTTGTTAATTATTGCACATATATAGTAAGTACAACACCTAGCCACACTGAAGAGAGGAAGCTTGGCTGTTACAGTCACGAGCTACAATGTTCACTCGTTTCAAACCAGACTCAGAACTGGACTCATTGTAACAGCAAAAATTATAACAGATTATATACTAAGGATTTTCCGGTTGCTCAAGAATAGTGAAAACTACACACACTAAGTCTGAGGTTACTCTTATTTGATATACTTATATGTATATCAAAATATTCTTAGATATCAGTTTTAGGCAGTAGGACTATTATTTTAAGTCTTTGAATGTTTCTGAATTTTATAAATTTCCTAATATGAGTATGTATACAGGAAGAAGACACAGAATACCTTAAAATATTATGCTTCCTGCGTGATTTATGAATTTTTTTTTTGTTTTAACTGAAGCAATTTACATAAAAGTGTGTTTTTTTCATTGAATGAGATCCTCCGATGACACAAGCACATTCTGATTTCATCTTCAGGTCCCTTTTAAAAATATCTATTGTATTGAAAGAGTAGCACCTTATATATCACACTTTAATTGCTGGTTTAATTTACATAGGGCTTGTTAACTTGTCCATCTACTCAAAATTATTAGTATTTTGTAAGTGTTCTGTAATTATGAAATTTGGAATAGAAATCAGCCAATTTCACCCAATTTTGTAACATATACTTCCTCTTTCTTTTTCTTAACATGTCTTATAGGACATGAGAGGTCAGGGGAAACAGGTAAAGATGTCCTAGTTGTAGGTCTGATTTTGACATGAGGAAGTGGAGGTTCTGAGAGCAAAAAAGGACTTTTCCATGTTGAGTGAGACAGAGATACAGGTCATACTGTGGTTTCCTGGGAATTTGATATCATAATGACTACATCCACAGCAGGCACCCGCAGTGGGACAGCAGCACGTGCATGTTTATGAAATCCCCCAAAATCCCCTCCTTTCTGCAGGATTTCTGCTCTTAGCAACAGGGATCCC